TATTAAATTTAAATTAAATTACAATAAAAAATTGAATTAAATAAGTTATACCAAAAAATTTAAACTATTAAATAGTTAATTTTATATTAACATCGATATTTTAAAAAAAAATTATGCTATCTTCAAATTTATATTTTATTCAAATAAAAACATTACCGCTTTCTAAAAATCATATAAAATCGTATTATATCGATATAGACAATAATAAAAACTAAAATTGAAATAAAGATTTATCTCATTATATTATCCGAATATACTTCTAATGATTTTAAAAGTGTATTTTTTTTAGAAAGCAAACGAAGCAAATTATAGTTGACAATAAAATATAAGTTGCTATGGGCCAATAGCCCCATGCCCACCGAGTAAAGAAAAAAGTGGAAAGAGCCTGCTATCATTATGCACATCACATACCTGCTCCTCTTAGTATATGGTATATATATATATATGTATGTATATATATATATATATATATATGTATGGATTGGATATTATACAATTATTTATATTTGTACAACCAATACAATTTAATTTCAACCGTCCATTTAATTTGATGAATATGTGATTTTATAAATGAATCATAATCATCTTCCATAAATATTCAAATCATAATAAATGAACTTTCATCATTTCTATAAACATCTTAATTAATTGAATTACATTGATTTTATAAATAAACATGGTTGTATTTGAAATATACCCTATATATTCCACATTACTTTTATTATCCTCTTTCATCCTCACTTTTCGTGACTAAAAAAACTCTAAAAATCAATAAAAATTATATAATTCTTAAGTATAATAATGAAATTTTAAAAACAAGTTACTCAAAATAAAAATTAATATTTAATTATTAGTTAACATGGATACTTGGGGGTGATACACCACCGTGACACCGTCACAAGACTCAAACTACACGATTTATTTTGGATCCCATCGGACTCAAACTCAAACGGACACATTCCGGCGATAAACACACGAAACCCTTACCACTAATCAAGGGTTAATTAAACTAAATGATCCTAATTAATAATACTCATAGCGAGATCATCAATCAACATATATATATGTAATTAATGAATCTCATGGGCAGTCGTCAAATCTTGAAATCAAGCGAAAATGATCTTGATGT